TATGTGTTTTTCATTTTTTTATACTTACCTATATATATGTCATTAAATTAAAATATACGTTTTAAACAACATTGCATAATCATTAAATCATAATTATCAATTTTAGCCTATAAGAAGTGCTCCWGCGGGCAAGAAATATGTACGCTGTTTGTGTCATTGTCTTTTGATTTGCAAAAGTACATCACAGCGTATTGCTTGTCCCCGAATAAACTGCAAAAGAGTTATAAACTTAGCGCCAAGTCCTGTAACACCGCCAATTCCTCAGGTTCCAGGAATGTGTCGTGTTACTTGTGTGCACTGTCAGGATACATTCCTTGTAAGTGTTTAAAACATTTAAATAATATAATGACTCTATTAACAGTATTCTGAACCAAAGATTATAACTAAAGTAAATTATAAATATTTAGGTAATAGGTAGCAAATATATAATTTTTTATTTATTATAAAARTTTTCGAAATATAGTATTAGTATTTAAATTTTAGTAGGTATTCAAATATTTGTTTTTATACTATACACAGATAATTTCATTTATCTTTTTAAAATGTTATTATTATTACTTCCATGATGAGAGTTTATTTAACCCGGAAGAAGAAGTGTCATGTTGAAAAAATTAATGGATGTATTATTGATCTTATCTTTTTAACCGATTAATTAAAAGTTCATTTTTGTATTACCAAAAGTTACTCAATATTTTTATGTATATAAATTATTATTGATAAAATGTACTGTAGAGCTATAGAAGGGATATTCCAAAGCATGATCCTTACCAGTTTACAAATAACACAACATTTTTACAGATGATGGTGCATTCATAKAGAACAATAAAATAAATTATTTTATCATAAAACCAATTTTTTGAAATAATTTTCTTTTCTTATTATTATCTAACAATTTTTTAAAAATGAGTGAACTATTAAATAATAATCAATCACTCATCCAAATCAATTGGGCTTCTGGAATAAATTACCCATTTTTGATACAAACATTTACAACCACAACAATAATAAATAATATTTATTTATTTACCTAACCAGTATGCTAAGTAATAAACTGTTTAGTGAGATTTCTTCCTGATTAAACCATACCCAGAGTAATACCTATGTTTATATTTTTGTTTCTATTAAATAAAACAAAATCTAAGGTTATATTTTATATATTATTATTTAAATCTGATTAATTTATTCAAATATATTTCAGTTTAATATGTTACAAAACGCATTGGCTAGATGCCCGCATTGCCGTAAAGTGTAAGTATCTTCTAATTTTTTCATAAAATTAAATCTAATATTGCATTCATTATAATATTTATTATCTTTGGTTACAGGTCTTCTGTTGGCCCTGAATTTGCCAAAGCAAAAGCTATATTTTTCCTCATATTATCTGTCATACTGTTTATTATTGGCGGATGTGTTGTATTTTTCACATACTCAAAYGCAAAGGCTCACAGCGGTTATTTCATTATTCACATTGGTTAGTATTGAAATTCRATGTATTAAAAGTATAATTCTGTTCTAATAATATTTGCGTATTTCATTTTCTACAGGTATCCTCATGTTAACACTTTTAGCATTTTGGAAATGTCTATATTACTGCCGAATTAAAGTCAGCTCTATTGATGGACCTGTCTAAAAATAATAATATATTGTATCCTTAGAATATTGGCCATTTTAAATGTTAAAAAAAATTATTTTATACTATGGTAAATAATTATTGTAGTTTTATACCTCTTGTTTTTTTTTTCTGTTTAATATTAATTGAATTTGTTGAATCTTATAATATGAGGAAAAAGATTCCATTTACAAGTGTACACTTTTGCAGTAATGTTGAATAATAATAATAATAATTCCCTATTATTATTACTATTGTTAATGACGATAATCTTCTATTTTAAGTAAAACAAAAAATTAAATTAAATGATTCTGACATTGTTCGATCTAACATTTACGAAATTTATGTCTATTCCAGATAACCTGAGTTTAATAATAATATTATTTTATGTATCCAATAATAATAATAAAAAA